AGTACGCTTACCGTAGCACGTCCTCTGGTATTACGGAGGGCCTTTCTATAGGTTTTAAGACTATCTTGCCAAATTGAGCGATATTCTAATAATTTCGAAGAGCGCCATTTCCTTTCAGATTTCCTTGTTTTTTGCTTTAATTAATTAATTAAATTTATTTTAATTATGCTGATATAATATATAAATTGATTATGCTGATATAATATAATATAATATAATATATTGATGATCCTGATATAATATATATATATTAATGATCCTGATATAATATATATATATATTGATTATGCTGATATAGTATATTTGATGATCCTGACATAGTATATATATTGATTATCCTGATATAATATATATATTGATTATGCTGATATAGTATATTTGTTGATCCTGATATAATATATATATATATATATATATATTGATGATCCTGATATAATATATATATTGATGTAATCAAATGAGTTCTGTTGCCTCATTGGCTGATTTTTGTCTGTAAAGTAAAACGCTGGTGAACGTGTGGCCCTATCTAGTGAAAACTCCCCATATATAAACAGAAATATCAGATTGAACTTGTCTGTAAAAAGACAATGAAGTCAGTTGGTATGTTGAGTTCATTCATCAGCTTCATTTATCCTCAGTGTACTGGAACATGTCCCACATATCTCACTAATATAATACTGTATACATTAAAGCTAAAGGATGCTCCTCTCTTCAGAACATACAAACTATCTTTATTTAGTGTGAACATATATCACACACGCCTCACACGTTCACTCATATTCTACAAAACTGTGGAAGGACTATCTTCCATATTGTGGGACTCCCATAATCAATATTCAATGAAATACAGTGGGCCGTCTCTAGGGCCAATTCTGCCTCCGTCACTACAGTCAGTATCAACAGTATCTTTATTTTTGACCACCTTCTGTTAATATTATATTCAGCTGCTGAAATTATAGATCCCACTTTTTAAAGTTTATGATTATATTTATAAAGTGAAGGTATATTTATGAGCCATTTAGGCTTCAAACCTCTCCTGCCTATTTCTTTTAAATTCCATTGTTACATAAACATTTATTGTTTGCAAATAATAAAATAAACATAAGACGAGAAGTGTCTAACTAAGGCAGCCAATCAGCGGCTCCTCGATCGCCTTATAACACCAATAATTCCCCCTTGATCAATTAAGTCAGTAAACTCCACCGCCACCCACCTTATTGGCTCTCAGAGAGACACGCCCCCCACAACGGGCGCAGAAGCGGCTCTGACAGTAGCAGCAGGCGCGGCCGCAGCCGTCAGCGAACTTCGTCTTGCGACAGACGCCGCAGATAGGAGACTCCGCCTTTGCCGTCTGAGCCACCTGAGGCTCCTCCCCCAGCTTCTTCACCTGGTCCTTATACATCTCAAACTGCTGATGTAGCTTCCTGTGAAAAGGTCAGAGGTCAAAGAGGGAGGCGTTACTCAGGTGACGGTCATGTGGCAGGAAGCTTGTTTATGGTAACGAGTGTGACATCAGCAGTAACTTCCTGCTGCAATTTTTCTGTCCCGATTGTCTTTGTCCAGTTGTTGTTGTCTCTTTTTAGGGACTACAGTCTGCACAGTGTCCTGAAATAACTTCTGTTTGTGTCCAGTTCTGTTTACTTCCCACTTGGCAGGATGACATCACCAAGACGGTCCAATCAGTGAGTTACCTGACAGCCCATGTGACCTCCGGTGATGTCTCCACACATTCAGAGTTCCAACACGCAGATAAAATGGCGGACAGTGAATGTGGTTCTGTTTGTTGGTTAAAGTCAGTGAAGTGACAGCAGCAGTTCAAAGGACAAACATTCATGATGAGGTGGACCAGGACCTGGACCTGGACCTGGACCTGACGAAGAGGACTTTACTAAATATATTTTCTCTTTTCTCAAGTTTCTTACTCACGTCTGCGACGCCTCGTCAATCGGACTTTTAACCAGCAGAACTTCAGACACGTTGGCTGCAACGTTATTGACCAACTGAGTGAACCCCGACAACGGATTCCACCTGTCCAGGTAACACACAGAGTCAGCTGACAGGAAGTGGATTCACTATGGGCCAGTTTGGGAAACAGGAAGTACTTTAATGAAGTTGCTAGTTTGAGAAACAGGAAGTAGGTTTGCCCAGGACAGGTGCACTCTAGGAGATGTAGTTCTGACTGAGGTACTTACGAGGCTGATGGAGGTTTCACTTCCTCCTGGTCCCTGCAGACACATGATGATGATGATGATGATGATGATGATGATGATGAAAATAAATGACAGAACAGAAACAAACATAAAAGCAGCATCAAATAATTCAAACCATGAATAAGACGATGACATAAACACATTGTATGCTCGCTTTAATCTCAGATGCACTGACTATGACTCCTTCATATCGGGAGAAAATCAACAGAAAACAACTGCTCAATGTCAGCAACAGTCAGTAACAGGCGGCAACAGTCGGCAATAGCCAGCAACAGCCAGCAGCTGATTGTTGATTTTAGGACACTTCCTGTTTACATCAGTGGAGCTGAGGTGGAGCTGAGGTGAAGCAGGTGAACAGCTTTAGGTTCCTGGGAATCAACCTCACAGAGAACTGGTCATGGTGGCCTCACGTCTCCACTCTGGCTATAAAGCACAGAAACGAGAGGATTTCTGAAGGAAAGTTCTCGGTAACCTTCACAAAGGAGCAATGGAAAGCTTGGAAGACAGGAAGCATCACAAAGGGACATCAGGACAGGAGGACTCTGTAGCACAAGATCGCTTTTTAAGAAAACTGTTTCCAGGACCTTTCCATTACCTTTCCAGGGCAGTTTCCAGGACCTTTTCAGGACCTTTCCAGGACCTTTCCAGGAGTTTTTCTTGACAATACAGGACAGAACTTGTTGACAAACGGAATAACAG